CTAGAAGCGTTTCTTCGGAAATCTTACTGGCAGTTGTTTCAAGTATTTTACTTTTGTGTAGGATGTGGTCTGGAAACAAGTCATCCAAAATGTCTTCGGTTGACAAAGCCTTAATTTCGTCACTAATGCCACCAATAATCGCTGCTTTTATTTCAGGAGATACATCAGACAAATTTACCGCGGATTGAAATTCAAGTGAGGAATCGTCTGACAAAATTTTTATTTGTGGTGTCGCATCTGTTACAATATCAGCAATAAACACAGTATTTTCATGCGAATCATCATCATCAGAATCAAGTACAATGTTTCTGGCTCGCTCATTAGAAGTAGACTTATCAGTCGCAAAAACCGTAGCGAACTTAGGGAGATGTTCGGAAAGCATAGCATCTGAGTCGTCATCACCTGACTGCGTAGATGAAAATCTGCTTATTAAATTTGTGACAGGTGAAACTCGTGATAGAAACGGACTAGGCTCGTCTTCAGGAGGAAATATTATAGAATACTCGAAGGCCTTAGGTGAAAAAATAACTGTTGTTGGTTCCCTTGGATTCACTTGTAGTGGGTGCATAGAATGGCTTGTATTTAGAGTAGGCAAAGGCACGCCTACAGAAATCACTGCACTTCGAAAGTTTGCAGCCGATGTGACCAAGCTTGCTGTAATTCGTGGCTTTCCTGATACTGTTACTCTAGAAGGATTCGATGCAGTAATTTCATCAATAGATACTTTCGTGTCGCTAGGCGCTGGAATAGATGTTTGTCCCAATGTCTCTCTGCTTGTCGGTGGCGTTGGTAGAAAGGGGGTGGCAGTGTGTAAAGGTAAAGGGACACCGATATTAAGTTGATTGATAGAAGTTACTAGTGGCGAAGCTGCCTGAAGAAGAGGTGCTAGTTCATCCAACGGAAGTGGTACGCTGAAAATACTGTCTGTCAAAATTTCTTTTGAGGGCTTGGACGATACAATTTTGGTAGACGATTCAATTGATCCATTTGAAGAAGTGACATTTGTCTTGGAGTCAATTTGAGATGGAAGAGGAACTCCGACGGAAAATATTGGTATTGAGTTATTTCTAGAAGTTGCCTCTGAGGATGATGTTGTGGTTTCCTCGGTTGACGCCTGGAGCGGTGCTGGAGGTTTGACTGTAGGCAGTGGTAGCGGTACTCCTATGGAACGCAACGTAGTGGTCAGAAAACTTTCCTTCCGGCCACTATCTTGAAAACTCGGAACCGTGGTAACTGCAGTTTCAATATCATCCAGAAGATGATTGATTGCTCCGGTTGTGGTTTCCTCGGTTAACGCCTGGAGAGGTGCTGGAGGTTTGACTGTAGGCAGCGGTAGCGGTATTCCTATGGGACGCAACGTGGTGATCGGGAAATTTTCCTTCGTGCCACTATTTTGAAAACTCGGAACTGCGGAAACTGCATTTTCGATATTCTTCAAAAGAAGATTGATTGCTCCAGCGTTACTAAGGTTAGACATTAATGCCTTCAAATCAATCTTTAATGAATTATTTTGGCTTCCAGTTGCTGAGAATTTTAAATTATTCCAAAGTCTCAGAAGAGATTGGATTGACTCGATGCTGTGTTTGCTGGACAGAGCGCTGGCATTTATATTATCGAGTTGATTACTTCGCCCACTATCGCCGTTTGACATCATGGCCAGAAGAATATCGTTAGAAATTCTACTAGTATTATCGTTCAATTGCATCGGCCAAATAGTTTCCTTAACTATTGGCAGCATAGCATCTCTTAATGATGGCAGATGTTTAGGCACTTCTAAAACGGTGGTTTCAGGTAGTTTCGAATCTCTTAGCAGAGTCGTCAATAATTTTGGTCCTTCGTTAACATCATCAATACCGATGTTTTCAGTAGGCTCACTTTTGACTGATTCTACGATTAATGCATTTTTTATAATTCCATCTGTCAGTTCTGCCGATTGACCTTTCGAAAATGTCACCTTGGAATGACGAGCGTCTGCGTTGTCATCCCGCAAGGACAGCAGAAGCAGACGATTGATTAAAGTCTCGCCAGGAACTTCGATCTTGATGGTCCCGAGAGGCTTGTATGTGATACCAGAACCGCGGGCGTTGAGAGAGCACAGCAACGCAATAAATACGAAAAATATATACATTCTGTAGTAGTTTGTTTCGTAAATATTGATGAATTTATGAATTTAAGCTATTGTAAAACATTGGTTAGAATGTAGATTACGTCGGTTTAGTAAAATGTTCGAGTCAATGTAAGATAGAATAACTCAATCACTGGCTGACTGGCACGACTGCAGTTGCAAATACACGTTGTCTCAAAATATCTTCAAACGTTGCACTATTAAATTTTTTCATGTAATGTATTCAGAGAATAAATTTATTTTTCTCTTTTTCTGATATTATGCGGTCATGTTCCTTTGTTTTTGAAGTTCACGTTGCCCGTTTGTTTAAATCATCTTCTACAATCTTTATTGCATCGTCAAGTTTCTTTATTTGATATTTATGTCACATGAGTTTTTGCGAGGATGATCCCCACCAATCGGTCTGAAGTCGCGGACACCACTGAAGAGACAGGATCCCGCAGAAGCGGATATCACAGGTGCTTCCGTTTGGGTCACACAATAAGCGTTGTCTGCATGCAGGGAACCTCACAATAAGCGGTGCAGGGAAGAGCACCGATCTAATATCCCAATGAAACAATGCATCAGCAACCGAGGTCAACTAATGTGAGATACCTACGGCTGGAACACCTTGACACTGACTGTATCGCACCAACGAGGAGTCTTGGCCCTGGAGTTTCTTTACATTATCGATGTGACTGATTAAGGATAAGGGGGAAACAAGGCCAAGGTTGCAAAAAAATAATTGCTATATTCGATGGAGAGAGAAAGCTGCCTCAAAGAAGAATATACATTTTGCGACGTTGAAGGATTTTCTGACGAAATGGACGCTTTCAATCAGCTAGAATTTATATGCTAATGTCGTTGCATGTTTATGAATTTGTAAATTTTTTCTCATGTATACGACTTTTTAGTAACATTGCAAACTTGAGCAACCAATTTTAGATCATCGATCAATTTATGAGAGAAAAATTTCATTGAAGAAACCTGCACGCGAAATATCTCGTGTGCAGGTTTCCCTCGGGTTTCCAAAAAGATCATGAATTAACTCGTACAAAAGTTACTTAGTTTTTAAAACAACAGATAATCCTAAATCATTCACTCATTCAGGTAAAGGCGTGCAAATTTTACAGTTGAACTGACCAGTGAGTGTTAGCGCTGGACGGTAAAGATGATTGGGTGCCTGGACTAGCAATGCTTACCTTCATATCTAATTAGTCTCGATTTAATATTAATAATGCCTAAATATAATTGAAATACAGTATTGCCATGAAGCTATATTAGTGACAAAGTGAGTTCACGTGAGAGCATTTAATGACTATAAAGAGCTCTTTTTCCTGCTAGGCCCTGTGATAGTCATTTTCCTGTGATCGTCACGAATCAACTTCCGCTGTTGAGCTCAAACAGTCTTCGTTGGTTGTTTTAGTTCTACGTAGACGCGTTTGTTTCGATGCCCAAGTTGGTGAATGTTACTCACAGCATCGACGAATGTGGAAATAAGGTCATAAAAGTTATATCGTACGGAAGAAAGTACAACGCGCCTTCAAATCCCGCTTCCGTAATTTCCACGAACGCCATTTTTAATGTCACGAAATTAAGTGATATATTGTTGCATTCGCTTCAAGTTGTTTGCCTCGCAAGCTAGTATTGTCCTTCGTCATTTTGCGATCTATTGTTTGCCGTATCAGATTGTCTCCTCTAAATGATCGGCGGCTTTCAGCCCGGGTCAGGTTAAATTTCTGGATACTATACAGACGGCCTGAGAACAACTGCATTTTGATACGCGAAAAGATCATGTTAGCGCTAAGATTATGTAACAACCAATTATATTGGTTATCTTATATAATCACTTAAATTAAACTAAGTTATTCGCCGATTTTTGTACATTCCGTGACTCATTGAAAGATCTGAAAAGTGGCATTTTGACCAGATTTTGTCAACAGAAGTTGGTTTTAAATAATCAATGGACTTTTACTAGTTCCGTGTAGTGCTAGGCATTAATAGACTGAACATATGCTTCTCATCGCAATGTCTAGCTTATTCGTGAACGTGCTCATACTCGGAGCGTTAACAATATCATCAAGGAGGATGTTCCACAAATCGGTGACTAGAAGCGAGAAAAAATTTTGTCGCATGGGTGAATTGCACCCCAGTTTTTTAGCTTATTACCTCGGCCCCTAATGTGGGTCCTTAATACAAATTCTAGGACCTTGTATAAACCATGATTAAACTTGTATACTTCAATAAGGTCACCGCGCAGACAGCGATGACGGATACTTGGAAGCTTTATAATCTCTAATATCTATTCATAAGACTTGCGCTTCAAGCCTGAAATTATCATTGTTGCACGTCTTGGAACACTCTACTAAATTTTTGTCTTTCGCATGTATCTGGACACACTGCGTTTCTAAACTTTAGGGCCAGTACGTACGACAGCGACAAACAACAGCTTCATCGCTTCTGCAAATAAGTACTTGTATGAGCGTCTTATCAGTCCTGGCAGTTTATTGGATTTAGTAACTTGTGTTTCAATATGCCTAGAAAATTTCAGTTCCTTGTCAACATAAACTCTCGAATCTTTTCCTACAAGCCTAATCAATTATTTTCTTAATAAAGAGAAGTGAATAAGAAGTGAATAAAGATTTGTCAATACAATATAACAGTTGTTCAGATAATTGCAAAGAAACGCATTAAAAAACCTACAGCTTAACTGACGAACCTCCTGTGAGGATCATCTGAGAGTTAATGACAAATGGCAAAAGATAAAACGACGTAAACTGCCAATATAGAAGAAAATGATAATTTATTCGAAAATGAAACTCGTGAATTCCAGTACATTATAACTTCAAACAACTCATGCGGTTCGTAAGCATGAAGACGTGATATCGTTGTATATGCTGTACTGCGCACTACATGAGTTAATCAAAGACATATATCGAGTTAATTCATATATAAAGCCAATTAGTACTGATATAATGCATTTTTCCAAACAGATTTATGGTCGATAATGGTTGAGGAGGTTTGTGTTTGTACGGATACTGGCGATGTTCAACCCATGTTAGGGCCGGCACAAGGCAGCTGCGTGTAGCGCAACTCGAAGCCTCGGTTGTTGGTGTCCACGCTGTGGCTGAACTCGTCTTCGTCCGTGTGTACAGTCAACATAAATGGCAGCGAGTAACCTGAAAATCATTTGTGTTATTTAAAACTAGAATAATAACTTTACAAACGCTATTAAGTTATATTCAATGACAATGACAATACTTGGCAAGGTGACCCAGTGATTCAGATCAATATGATACGAGCAGCAAGTTGTGGGCTTAAGATCCATAGCTAGCTGTGAAAAATCTGCGATGCTAGAACCGGACAGGATTATCATGGCAGCGCGGACAACACTATATTACGTTATTATACTGTATTATGACGAAGAAATTGTTGTTAGCATTGTGTTGGCGATCAATTAGTAAGTTTGAATCAATTTGTTGCTCAAGATGTTGTTCAAGGCAGCCAAATAATCATAATTTCGAAGCCTTCCACAATACATCAGCCTGGTGCCGGACGCCGCGCCGACGCAATCCACAACAGGATGTCCGCTGAATTGACTTCGCCTATCAGGCTCTCATTGTAAAGAGGCAATGCTAGGTATATTAATTTCATAGTTTGAAAACCAAATTTGTAATTACTTTGGTTAACGCTTTTTAATAGCTTTTTGTCAACAGTGCTTTAATTTCAACGTCTCCGATTCGTTACAAGGCTTGCGCCATCTAATCGTTTTCTCACAAATAATACGTTATTTGACCTTTTGGGGACACTTGAAGCGACATAAATTGAAATAATCGAGACTACATTAATTCTCATAAATATGTATAAATCTAGCATAATGACATGGTTCTTTTCTTTTTTTTTTCGTCAAAATCAATATAATACATGGATGTGCAATGATTTTGACTTTGCCGATTACGGAATAGTTAATCGAGTCGAATCAAATACTCAATTTTTATATGAAGATTATAATGTATTTTCAGGAGCTTGAAATTTTGCATAACTAATCCAGATTCTGATTGACTGTATAGGGAAATATTCTGTTGGACAGCACTTACTGACTACCGGTCCTAGAAGCCGATTGCCGAACTGCAGTCCGCAAAACCTGTCATGTGGACACGAGTCTTCGTCGCCGGGAGTCCGGCCTTTGGGAATGACAACGTAGTCGCTTTGACATTGTGATGATCCATACTGTAGGAAAAAGCTCGTTTAATTTTATCTTCATATTAAATCAATGATAATAATTATAAGTTAGTTCTTTTTACCTTTCCTGGAAACTTTAAAATAGAGCTTGCTTTACAAAAAATGAAGTCTCATCGCATTGAAAGCTCACTTCATTCAATTATAATGACATTCAACCATTATAGTGGGTCGCCTGCCGAAGACCACCACTGCCCTGGATGTAATGGATCATCATGATTCCTGCCTTCCGGAACGTAGCCTTCAACACTTCAAGCCGTCCGTATTTAGGCCGTGGGTCGAACCAGCCCTCGGTCGGACGGCCACTTGTCGAAGGACGGTAAATTTTGGAACAGAACTATGCTATCTGAAACCTAACCTCAGATACGGTCAACATAAAATTACGTAATTTAACGATGCTCGGAGTCAGATTCGATCCGCGGCCTGGTGGTGCACGGCAGGTTCTATGCGAGGCCGGAGGAAGACAAAGCCGAGTGGTTCACGGCTGATTGGTGGATGTCCGGAGAGATCCAAGGCGTTCGATTCAGGGCTTATTGATGCACAAAATTGGTGGTGCACGGCTGCGCTCCCAATTATAGTAATGCCAGTGAATATTTATTTTTCTATAATATGCCTACATGCAAAGCCTGGCAACACGCACCAGATTTTTTCGATTGAAGCCAGCGGCGGCGTGGGCGTGTCCGGTCATGAGAAAGGCATCAGCGTCGGTAGGCGCGTACATCACACCACAGTAGCCAGGCTGGCGTGCGATGCAAATCGTGTGGTGCACGTGGTTCAAGTGACCTGTTAATGACAACTTTATGAAGGCATGTCACTGCATCATTCATACTTACTTATATACCTTCATCTCAAGCAATTATCAGTATGCAAATTATCTCTAAAGTAGCTTTCAATATTGAAGAAAAATAATATGAGATACAAAAAAAAAAATCACACAGCATGCTAATTACTTAGGAAGAAGTTCCAAAATGACGCTCAACGATTTTATTCCTAATTATTTTCACAAGAATTCCGCTAAACTTATAATATCTCTAATTTATAAATATATTATAAATAAACGTGAAGCATCCAGTTATCTTGTCTGAATCACCTGTCCACACTTGTCGTCCACACTCCTCTTCAGTGCCGTTCCAACATGGCTCCAGGTCGCGCTTTTTCCCGTCAAAGTTGAAACTGCGCACAACGTCAGTCACTTGCGTGTAGTATTGGGAACATCCGTCTGGTGCTGCAACGATCAAGACCACGAATATGTCGTTTATCAGGAAAATTTGATTTTTTCGACCACTGACAGTCAGACGGTTCATCTGGTTAAGAGATATTAGAATATTGTAGGGAAGAACTCAAACACATTTGTACTATCAAAATAATAAAATTGTTACTTCATCAGCCAATCACTGGCGGCTTTTCAAGCGGAATCCACCAATCACGAACAAGAAATCGACAGTTACGTGTACTTATCCGTTATGTGTGCTTCGAGTTTTGATAGTTCGTCCCATGCGCGGTAAAACATACCGTAGACCGAAGATTAACGGCAACTTAACTTTATCCAGATAAAGGTAAGCTACCAGGAACCGCATGTCAGTATGGTGGAACACGAACAAAAACATTGAGCACTATTCAGTGCGATTTTTCGTACGCGTTAATATTACACATTTACGCACTAGGTAGAGCGAAAATAAGAGCTTCCCCTTATTTCTTACCGATGAACATGTTTTCTTTGTTACCTCTTGGCTTTCCAGGAGTAACTGCTTCACACGAGCAGGGAATTTGAGCCACTCGGATTCTCCACTGACGATTATTTTCAACCTCGTACTCCCACCGATCTCTGAAAACAATATCCCTACATTAACAAACAATACATCGATCATGTATCCAAAATACTGGGTGAATGCCAAACATAAGACACTGTATAAACAACTCTCTTTATTTCATTTTGTAAAAATTTCTCGCTATATAAGCTATATTGCCAGGCTTTATTATTATTTATTCAGAACATGATTTCGGAGGCTTATTTAACTACTTCTAACATATGTTCAAAAAATACAACGCAAATTTGCGTGATCATTAATTAAGGCAGTTTAGGAATTATGAAATATCTAGGAGACATGTTCTTGTACTGTTGTACATCTTGAGAATTGAAACCATCATCTCAAGGATGTCGAGTGGTTACGATCAACGGAATTAGAGCTACGAGTTGTGAGATCGAAACCAGCAGCAAGCTGTAAAAATTCTCGTCGAAATTGTTTAAGGGCATCAGGATTTGTATCGTGGGATTCAATTATAAAACCAACGGCTCTTGACGATCATGTCGGATGGTAAAATTGTATTCTTGAACAAACAGTATTGTTCAAATTTTTAAATTAGTTCTGCTGTTAAGTAAAAATATATTTATTATACGGCCGGTAAAACACTTTCAAATAGTGTTCAATAGTGTTCAATAGCCAAAATTGAACACTTCTGCGATGTCTTGAGTTAGGGACAGGTCACACGTAGTCTAATTTTGAACGCCGACACCATGTAATATTATTATGCATTTAATGGTATATTATTACACTCGCAGCTCGTGAAAGAAGATTCATCTTCCCCAGGCCAATATAAAGCGTTGAATGCAAGATTTATTTAATCGTATGTATTTTTTATATTAATTGCGGAATTATTCATCTTTTATTCTTTTTACAAAATATATTTGTGCGAAAGAACGCACGCTAGAAGCTAATTGCTTTTTCGTCATTAATATGTAAGCCTATACAATATGATAAAGCACGGCAATCATATATTGCAAAGGTTCAGCACATTGATTCGATATTAAAAAAATATAAGAAATTTCGTAAAAACGACTGAACACAATAATTTTTTAATATGAGCGTAAATTTTTCCCAGCATTCAACTGTAAATTTTAATTTTTAATGGGAATAAAGCATTACACTCCGATGTCCGCCCCGGTAATGTTGTCACGCCTGCGTCCCACGGGGCGCGGCAGTAGCGGCGCCGTCATCAACAGGATTTCGGTGCTCGATCGGCCAGAGACGTCCACGTAAACTGAAGGAAACCCGCTAACTTTGAAAACAGTTAAATTCAAACTAATTCAAATAAAACTTAGAAGTAAACAGCGGGGGAATGTCATTAACTCATTGCGTACGTATCGTTGTGTTTTCGAATATAGTTGAAATCATTCGAGCAATATGTGTGCGTAAATGTAAGCAAAGTAAAGTGTTTTAATAGAATTAAGCAGACTTAGGTTATTAAATGCGTTATTGATTCAGAAACTGTCACCTAAAATTTATAAAATTTATCAAGGGTTAGTTATGTCAAGAAATCCCTTTAAAATTAAGCTAGTGAAGTGATAGTTTGCTTGGATCAATGGGGCAGTTACTCACGATGTTGTCCAGAATTGACCCCACACAGAGGCGGTGTGAAGCTTTGCCCCTGCACGTGGAGTTTGTCCAGCCTGCACTCCCCAAGCTCAGGTGGCTGCAGCGTCAGGCTCTCGAAGTCCAACCTTCCCAGGAGGAGGTAAAGAATTTAATCAAACTTTACGATTTGTGTCCGGATTTTTACCATGTTTTCTCATCATCTCATCATTTGGATAGTTACTAAGTTACTACTCAGTTAAAATTATTCGTGATTGTCGCTATTCGAATCATGTCAAAATTGTCCCGAGATGCAAGGCGATTGAGTTCGTTTACATTGGTACTCCAGGAAACGAAATAACCCTTGTGTACAGTTAGCGTTCTAGCTGAGTGCCGAATTTATATTAAAATTTTATTTTTATATCTTTATGATATCTGAGCACCATACTATGTGTCGTTACCTGAGCTGACACACTTCAGAGGAAGGTTCCGATGAGTCACAAGCGTGGGTGACGGTGAGATGACACTCCAGGGATTCATTAGCCAGGTATCCTGGATACCCAGGACTCTCTATAACAAACTGACGTCGAGATACCGACTCCCCACACCCGACCACCACTGCACCGGGATACATGACACGTTACCAGGGGTGCGGGTGTTACGGATACGTTGGACTTGTCAATCACGTGACAAGTTATCCAGCCTATGTCGACTTACGCGTCGCATGTTCATTCATGTCATGTGACTCATCATTATAGTGGGCCATGTGATGAGTTACCGGGGCCAGGTCGACTCGCGGATCACTGATTCGTGTCATGTGACATGAGATTTTGTAATGTGATACAATAAAAGAACATCTGTAACTAATAACGGGACCATTTCAAACAAGGGATATCTAGCTGCCGATGCTGGCTTACAGGCCCGTGTATTGGAGTTCACTGAAGATGGAATGTTTAAGCCAATGCCAAAATAAAAGTTGAGTTCTGGCCACAATGTCTCCATGTTATAAATTCGTATCCGACTTGCATAATGGACTCGTTAATTAAATATAAATTGAACCTTTTTGATGAGTAATAAATAGTAAAAAGTTTTTTCTCCCACAAACAAGAATCGCCTGAATTTTTTTTCATCTATTATTTTTTATCTGAGCTAAATAATGCACAGTAATTTCCCATACTGCGTAGCAATATATGCATCAACTGATGTCTCTCTGAATATTCAATATTATTAGAGAACACTTATCAACGTCTTAACCTCGTATATTTGTCAAAGATCCTATGATTTGTTATAAAGCCAAAAGTTTAAAACAAGTTCGTCGTGTTAGATGATAATTCAAACATTTAATTGAAAAATTGTTCAATTTCAGTATTAAATCAAGCAACTACAAATTTAAGCGGAGATGGTAATTTGCTCAGAAAGGCATTGAATTGTATTGGCTTAATACATAAACATGAATACATTGAAAATTATATGATTTCAGCGGTCGATTTTTGAGAATATTTGCAGGTGAAGAAAGATTGCCAATTCAAAGAAAAATTTACGTATAAATACTGCATGGTATATCTACCAACTTAAGAGGATGCAATTCTCTGACCGTGTTGAGCGTCGTACGTCACTTTGAAGCCTCTGCACGTCTCGCCAGCCTGCGACGTTCGTAGCGTCAGTACCATAACGTTGTCGTCGCTAACGTACTCTCTCGGCACGTCTTCTACGTCTCCACAGAGACGCTCAACGTCGTTGCTGCTCGAGTTCTTCCCTACAGAGAAATTTTAGTCATGGATACCACAGCAATTCAATAGGATTGTCATGTTTTTTATTTAAATCGCTTTGTAATTAAAATATTACACGTTATCGCCTGTGTGTTTGTTAATTAAATTTTTAGTTTTTTAATGATTAATTTTGTTAAAAATCATTAATTTTTTATTAATCAATCATTTTGTTAATAATCCCTAATTTTGTTAACTATCGTTCTTTTATATTAAATCCTACTTTCTTATTATTGGCTAGAATCTCGGGGAAAATTGTCGATAATAGTTATCTGTTTGCTGCCTGATGTCATTCATAAGTTTAAAAAAACTAATATCATGAAAACATTACTACAAATGAAAAATTATTATGTGTTAAAAAAATTAATAACAAATTCATCATATCTCAGACGAAGACATAATTTTTTCGTAAGACGGCAGTGTTTGCTGAGAATTAATTTAGATACGTTGTTCAATTCTGTCCGAATCTCAGAGTTCAGGGACCATCTGGATATCACCTCGCACGTCCACGAGCAGGTAGTCCTGCTCGCAGGTCGGTGTGCTTGTGAGGTCCAAATCTTCGATGTAGATCCTCGCTCTCATGCCAGCCGGGGCCTGTTATCAAGTAATAAATCAAACATTTTCCTACTGATTAGTTTTCGAAAGTTGCCTGTTTTTTTCTCAAGGATTTAGAGAATATTCCATAACAGAAAAGCCTGAGCAGGAGTCGCGTATTAGTCGATACACAAGTAGTTAATAGCTTATTTTCATAGCTTGCTGATCGGAAATTTTTCGTGTGGTTGCAACGAAAGTTGTAAAATAAATACTCGCAATAATAGCAGAACGTACAGAAGTTAATTTTATCAGATATTTTTGTAGCAAATTAGTAAAGTTATTTTAATAATATTTTAATATTTACACAATTTAAAGCTCTTTCGAGACATCGATGTTCATCTTGAGCTCGTGAAAACGTTAGTTCCCTAAATAATTAATTTAAATGCTTTTAAAAAAACGTCAAGTGAGTATAATTTTTACTAATGAAATGCCTGATTGAAAATCTGGCATTTCGTTCGTTTAAAAATTATTGATAAACGTTGCTTTATTATGTGGTTATGACATTTATTTCCTAAAATGAATATCATTAATCAACCTTACATTCAACTTTCATGACGCTGGCCTGTTGTTAGGCAATAATGTTGCTGTGCGAGGCTCCGTCAGCTCACGTACTAATATTATTAACGAATTCAATACTAAAACAAAAGGAATATTATTTAGTACTCATATAGGAATACCTATTATGCAGTACATACTCATATAGGAATATTGCCACAAATAAACCTTGATTGTCCAGACGCAGAGCAGCCCATGCGTGTACTGCTCGGGGTAGCCTGGCGAGGCGAGCGTCCCAGACGAGTCCTCGGCCACTGATAGCTCGCCTCCGCACTCTGGCGGGGTGAGGGAGACTGGCTAAAGATCGCTATTATTTATTATTTTACCTTATCGCTCTAAGTTTACGAGGGAGCATTCGTGCTCTCACATTCTCTAAAAATATCCATTCTCCAATTCATCGAAACTCATTGAAAACATTTACACACTCAGTCCTCACTTTAGTCCTGTTCGCTTATATCAATTGAAAAATGCACGCGCTCCTTCACATTCCATGAAAACATTTTCGCACTCATCCACACCCTTAAACATTCAAAATCACGCTCATGTCTACTAGCTGGAGACATTCGCGCACTTATTGACATTTTTTAAAACAATCACAATCTTCCTGCTAGGCAATTCTTTGTTCTTTATTCTCTATTCTTCATTCACATAAAGAATAAATTCACAAACGTATACAGTTGAAAAAATGCGGAATGTAAGTTTAAATGAAATTGTGTTTTCTAATCATTTGATTAGCTGAAGGACAAAATACGTGAGAAAACTCATTACAAAACATAAATTAACATGGCTAATCGATGCTAATTGCTGCTGAAATTTTGACATCCTTTTATGGTTTATCACGAGAAAATTTCACGAGTTCCTGGGCCTCTAAATTAATCACACCTGAATTTTACATTAGATTTTCGTCCGAGATTTTAAGAGAAATAAGTTTACCACAGCTATTCAGTTGTTGGAAAGACTCAAATGTAATTTTTTGTCGCGCTTTCTGTTTGCTAGTTTGTACTCACTTCTGCTAATCGAACTTATTTGTATTTGAAAAAATGCGAGTCTCTGAATCATTCAAATTATAGATCATTTTGAGCTTGACGTTACCTGAGTATGGCAGGGAATAACTTGAGGTTAAATTTGACGGATCTGCGTCCTTCGGAGCACCAATGGATTCTCCAGCCTTGGATATTGAACAAATGGAGACTTGATTAGGATATTGTTCAGAAATCTTCGTTATAAAATAAAGTTTTGTTGAACTTGCTCACTGAATGCAGTTATATAACTGAAATTTCACTTCATTGCCAGGCTCTACTAAATTGTGCGATTGCTTTCCATTAAGTTTTTTAATATTCCAAAAATCTCATCAGTGACTTGACAATAATTCAAGGAACAAGAATACTAATATATTTCATTTCAATCAAATTTCACCCAATTTATAACTCTATTGATTCATTATCGGCCGTTTAGGTAATTTCAAGATGTTCAAATACTGGTCGTTGATATCTGTTTTGAAATTAAGAAACAATGTCTAGTAACTGCTTAAAGAGCATTTCTGCCAAAGACGAAACAATGTAGCAACAACATGCATAGAAATATTTATTAGTGGATATCCAATATTTTAAACTTGAAGAAAAGATTAAAAACGACCTTTGGTCAAAGTTGCACAAATTATAGTGACGATTTAGTCCTTTCTCCCATTGTGCTGTTTGGAACTTTCGATACAAAAATGTAAATTATTAATAACATCTTACCGCTATTAATTTATATGCATTACTTGCTATTCATCGCCGTGTCATGACTTACATTGTTTTAAAATATCTGTTCTCGCGTCTCTGTCTCTTATAGCGCGCATTGTTCTTAAGTAAGCTATGGCCCTCAACTGCTGTTCCCTCTCCATTGTTTTCTTCACTTTGTCCTCACATACTGTAGTTAGCATCAAGTCCCCGCAGTTACATCATCATATGACGGCTGTTACTTCTTTATTCTTATATGTGCCTCAATCCATGCAGGTTGATGACGAAATGTTTGCGATAAAATAATATTAAATAAATCTCAGATTGACGGCTTCAATATATACAGGAACATTCTAAATCGAGCTAATTCTGTTGCTACTCCAACTTTATTGCAATTTCAATGACAAGGTACCGATAGTACGAGTATTTTATTATATTTCACGGATCATGAAATCCAAAGCAATTCATATAACAATTTTAAAATTATAATTTTCCGACACTTATTGCTTTATCATGCCTTCAATGTCCTATCCCGCTATTGGCTGTTGTAACAGCAACAGGGACAGACTGCTTGAGAGGGAAAATCTCGGCTAATAAGAAGGTGCTCCGAAGTGCCCTTTCGACAGAAGATGCTGTTCTTATATTAAAAATTTTCATGAAATTTCATGATTTAGATTTTGACGCGCAAATTTTTTTTTATTGTTTACATTAAACATCTTTATGAAGCTTGAAAACACAAGGAACGAATCTTTTTCTTAAACACTATAAGTTGTGCCATACATATGAGAAATTTTAATCCATGAACATACCTCAACAGTGTGGCGCATGACATAGAAAAAGAGTGAGTGCGTCAGGAAGTAAGAATATGTCTTTCTGTAGGTCATCGCTGCAATGGAGGCTGCAGATCTGCAATACGCGAGCGGCGTGACTGATGATGATCACGCTGGTGTGTAGCGATGACGTGCGCTACAGGTGGCGGCGCTAGAAGTATGATCTAACAGCGCCAGTTTTCTTTTCAGTTTTTAACCCTTCACTTTCTAAAGTCGTCCAAACTAATCAAAGTTCATGAGGTAACAAACATGCTGGAATATTGACCTTTAAATCCGAAGAAAATGAACTTAAACAATGCAACAACCAATTTTTCAATGAAATAATTGTGATAGTAAACAAGAAACCTCACCCATTGAATATTACTTTGACACGATAAGTCACATATAAAAACTCTGCTTATAATATATCATATTCCTGTTCATGTTAGGATAACGAAGAAAAATTGAAAACCGGAAAGTTTTGAGGATATATGAATTAAATTATGGTCTCTCATGAAACCAATTAAACTTTATACTTTTTACGTTTGTTCATTTGTTGATGCCCAAGTTATATTAACCCTATTTCTAATTAATAACGATAAATAATTAATGTTCCTTCTGATTCTAATCATATTTAATTTTAGAACAAATTGCTTCGCTACCTGGCCTGGTCTAAACCTTAGAGGGTGCTGGAATGAAGGAGTTTACATGCATAGCATGTACTTATATACTACACTTGCCGTGAACGTAAGTTATCAAGATTTTTTACTGAGAGACATCAATCTTTTGTTAGAAAAAGTTTGGCCGCATGCGTCGATCTTGGCTTTAAGCTTCAAAATAAGTGATTCATTCAAAAACACTTGTGCCTCGTAATCTTAATAGATTCATTATACATCGGACAAAGTATGTTTTTGCATTATGGTACACATCTCTTTTTTCCTATTTTCTGTTCCTGCCTTTTTGTCATTATAAATCAATCACGAACGTCGTAAATATATTTCGCAAAGCTGCACCGCTCACTCCTCATTGAACAGCTACCGCAGTCTCCTCGCTACAAAGAGAACGTATAAGAGACGGGTGACTGCATCGTCCTTCTCGCTGATGTAACGATAAATCAGAGTCTTCTTGATACAGTGCACGGCAAAAAAAGCAGAGCATGAGGTACCTATGATCACTCAGCCAGTATTTTTACCTGCAGAATATCAACATTCTAAGAATATAAAGTTTTTCAAACGGCAAGAAAGTATTGCACTTCTTCTTTGTAACCTTTTTTAATGTCATCGAAATAAAAATTCGCTCGTTTATACTTAGGGATCGAGAATTTACATTTATTGCTTGAAAACCTAATTTGAAAATCTATATTTCAAGCCTTACATGTTAAAAGTCTATATCACAAAATTAAGTTCCTTCACTGGGCAAGCCAAACATGTTTGCATGAATAATCCTGTCGTATCTCATGGTTATAACACTTTAACTCCCAAGTTACCTGTTTGTCCTTCATGACTCGTACTCGCACATGATCAGAAGTTTCTAAAAACCATCACATAAATCGTAAGTATTATGACGTACCACGAGTTTGCTTCTAACCCTGCAATATATAAGTAAAATTACGGGCAGTTTTGCCGGTGTGCATTTGGCCGGATAAATCAAAACCTACCAAGTTCGTGATCGCTGCATCTATGAAAGAGCAATTTCTTCCGATAAAACATACAGCTCCTGTTAACTGCTACGCTCCCTCAGCCAAATGCGTGGTTGTTATCAAATGGCCGATCATTTCGGAAACCTAAACTTTCACTGGCGTTATCTGCAATCAGCTTCACAATGGACTTGGAAAGTTAATATGGAATCAAAGGACTTCCGAGAGTCGGTCTTCTTTCGCGCAAACCTCAGCTCTCATATTCATGCATTCAAATTATTATGAGGATAAATTTTAAATCCTGAGAATAAAATGGTATAACGTAATCTTTAGAATTTGTTGTTCGTCTCATCAATTATTGGCGATCAGAATCGAGATCAAAACGACCTCAGTGCTCGTTATTGACGTAGCATTTGTTTCCTTCCAATGAAGTAGCATCAATTGAGCCTTCAATACTATAGCAAAATATTTCTTAGTCAAGCATAGGAAAGTAAAGTAGTTTCTAATGGATTTAATTGTTGTCTATTGTTTTCGGGCAAACCTGTTTGAAATCGACATTTTTTTAACAGACCATTTATTGCGCTTATACAGCTTCCGTTTTAGTTTCTAAGTGGGCAGCTCTTATCAAAATTTTAACTTTTTGATTTTAATCTAAAATAATGTTAAATTCACCACGTTCTGAGGGCAATACAATTTAATGTTCAGTTTCATATGCTATTCATTGTTATTTAGATTTATTGTTAGAGTATGTTAATAAAAATTTTTAACCGGGATCCTCACCTGCAGCACAAATTTCAACGAACAGTCATCGCATTAAGCCTTAAATGTCCTTCTTTAATTTCCGCACAAGTCTGGCAAGAGCCTCGATTTTCCCAAAAACCAAACTTCTTTATAACTTCTCTTCTCCCGCTCGTGAGGCTTTCTCGTCCATCCCTCACTCTCTATAGCCGTTGTTGAAATTTGACGAATACTCTATTAATATACTATTAATATACGACGAATACTCTCTTGATATCGCTCGATGAGATTTCTCCATGGCCTTTGATACCTCAAGAAGCTGTAAGCTGGTCTGTCGATATAATGTCTTGTGTGGTAATGAATTACAGTTTTTTTCACATTGTTCCTGGTATTATATTTTTGGGAAATATTTAAATAGAACACTGTTTGTGTAGAAAGACTGATTGTCATTCATACTCGTATGATGTTGGGAGCTTTTACATGTTGAATCAATAAAAATAATTCATTTATTGTTAGGCTTTGCTATATTGACGAGCATGCATATTTTTATTCGCCCAAAAAATTCGCCCAATTTTGTACGAAATTTTCCGCTTCAAAAATATCAGCCAGAAAAGACATCAGAGAAATAAATTCACAACTCTTCACGTCTAGGACTGAAATTGAAAACAGATTACTATGTTTTCCTTTATATACTTTTCATTTAAAAAACGCCAATGTAATGAACTGTGTTGGAAAAGTTGTTAAAAAGTTGTCCGTTTATATAGATATGAATATCTATTTTAAGGTGTTTTTAAAAATTATGTTTCCGTTTGAACATAATGGCGACGACAAAGAATAGAATGTGACGCCTTTACGAGCACAAAGGTTATCATAAAATTCAACGCGCTTCCGCGCTGAAATCTCGAGTATTTGAAGCCGGCGATGAACTGTCGCTCCCAACTCTCCCTTTCCCTCAAGACTTGATCACCTGCGACTACAGTGAAAGTTTGATTTTAGTTAACCTTTGATATGATCATCAACGCCACGTAGAGAAAGTGATTATTGTATTATTGGGGAAATAAATGTGGTGGTTATTTATTGTTTAAGAATTTGATGAGAGGATCAAAGAATTTTTCAGAAATCTCTTCTGTTTTCTGTAGGCAAACCTTGAATCGTAACGTTTACATTAAAGGTAATTAGAATATAATTACATTTTACTCTTTACTGTCATAATATAAGTAATACATAAAAAACATCCATTCATATATTTTAGCTAGCTTCCTATTTCATGTACTAGAGTTTTCTTTAATTACTTCATAAATGTCACACTATAATTACTTCATAAAATAAATAATTGTTAGTAAATGAAAAACAAGCAGTAGAACTCATGCATGATTCTGACGAGAAATTATCAGACAAAGAAATAGTGATTGTTTATCGAGTTCCTTAAACTTGAAATATTTCTTTCTCGAACGAAAATGCAATTCTGTGAACTTTCTAAGCCTGCTCGACAATCTTGTGGTTTTTATTTTTTTTTAATTGCTGACAAAGCATGCAACCATGCATCACGTCACTCAAGGCCAGTTTACTTTTATCACTCACATTCTCTCCAGATCTGCGATTGGAACCTCTTCCGGGTGTTGCCTGAAACACTGAATGGCGGTATTAAATCTTCCCAAAAGTTGCATCGCTGCAGCGTTACTTTATTGTTCCACTCGTTAGATTCTCGTGCGTGCGCTGGCAGCGGTTCTTTTGGCTGCCTGGAGTGGAAAATTTATGTAAAGTATCAGTAAAATTATTCGTGTAAATAATGGGTTGGGAATACAGTGTGTCTTCGAAAATAAAATTGGCATACTTGAAGCGTTTTAAAGGTGGATCGAATGATTTCTGACCTCCAATTGTCCTTGATTCAGCAACTATTATTTACTCTCAATTGTGATTCGACTTTAAAACTACGATAAAAAGTATCATTTGACGAATCCAATTTAATACACCAAAGTTAGAGTGTGAACAGATCGTTTATTTCTGTTTAGTGATTAGTATTCTGTAACTTTTTTAATCACAGTCTATATCAGTGGGATTCATGATCTTTCAGTTCAAAAGTTTTTTATATATCATAGAAATTGAAGGCACATATATGAAGCTAGCAGAACCTAAGCTTCACCAAATTTGCTGCGCAAGTCAAATAATTTTTTTCATATTTTTTCGAATCTGAATTAAATTAATTCAAAAAGGGACACCTCCAAACGATTACTTATTTTTATTCGAAACTTGCACGAAAAGTGATTCCGGCTTCGGTTACCCTTTCATTTATAAATTTAATAATAAATAAAAGCTAAAACAAATGAATGAGCATGATTTCTTCCTACTCTTTATTTACTGCACGGTGATTCCGCGCGAGTTGTGGAATTTTGATTTCGGTTTTTTCTAAATAGTGGCGTTTCTTTGAAAAACAGACTTTTCTGAGTCAAGACAAACAAGTTCTTCGGAGAAAAAATAACTTAATTTGTGATCCACGAGAAAACAACTTTTCGATAGAATATAAAAAATTATTGCGACGCTATTTTAGTTTTTCGAAGCTTATCCAATGGATAGAAATACTCGGTAAAATATAGCATTTAATAGCCCCAACAATTGTGTGAAACAGTGTGTCAATTTCACTTACCAATAAGAGAAAGAATGAATTAAACTTAAAAACAAAGAACGCTCACTAAAGAACTTGGAATACAGCATATACAATGGGTTCTCGCAGCCTGTGGAACTGAATGCTTGGAGTTGTGAATGTGTAACTAGCATATTATAGTTGTACACGCGTCAGATATTACACTTGTACATACACATCAGATGTTTACGCGACAGAAGTACACCGAACAAATGTGTATGCATCTGAAGTATATACATCAGAAGTATACATATAAAATATGAATCATCAGATAAGTAAGCACCAGATTGACACGCATAAGACATGTACGCATAAGCGCCAGATGCCGACGTACAGGCACTCGTCGTCTGCCGTCCTTCCCTGCGCCGCGCGTCTCCGCCCTGAAGTGA